AAGAGGAATCAGGACTCCGCATATTAAATGCCTAAACATCTCTACGTTGTCCCTATAAATTTAAAGTATGACAAAGGTATTTTACTGATGTGATGAGTGATATCGATTCAGAAAGAATGCCGCCGTGCTTCTCTAATGCCACTTTTTTTAAAAACAATCGAAAAAAACAAAATATATGGCGTTAAAGTTGCGACATTTTAGTGATTTTTAAAAATCAATTTCTTCTTAAAAAAGCAAAAAATGAAAATTTTACTATTAGAGAGGCATACATTAGCTCTTTATTTATTAGTATATACAAAAAGATCATTAAAAAGACAGTCCGTTTTTGTAATTTTATGGGGAGAACGGAGGCACTGTTTTGCAAATATTTAAGTCTGTATCTTAGCGTCACATTACGGCAAATTACCGAACTTTTATATAGACAGAGAAACTTGTGAGACAAATGCATTTATGGGAGGTGCTAAAAATGCAAGGAAATTTTCTTATCTTTTAACTGTGATTATGTGTCGGAAACCTTTCGCTCGCTTCATTTGCGTCCAAGGCAATTATTACATGGGACACAAATGTGAGACAATTCCGTGCAATGATAAAATTGTTGTACCTCAAAACAAAGTAGCATTGAAATTATTCGAAATTGATTGTTGGTTAGCACAATTTTGAACCCTCAAATTAACAAGTTTTTATTAAAAGTAAACAGTATATTTTTGTTCTTCAGAATTAATGTGCGTAATTTGCACATAGGTATAGGTATGTAATTAAGGTTGGTCTTTCCGTCAGAATGTTTGCAATTTTTTTGCTACATTTCGTACAACAATCAAATTTATTTATAGATAGTATGTCTCAGACCTAGGAGTAATAAACCACCCGGCCTACGAAAGAGTATAATTATTTTTACATAGAAGTAGCGCCGTAGCGGATAACAAATATTTTCCACCAAACATATAGGTATTTGAAGTGAGAAATTAAAAATGTGCAGCAGCAATGTATGGGGATGGTACCTACTTCGGCAATACATGCTGGGGATGTGAGCAGTCATAGGCGTGCGCTGGTATATTTTCGTTATTTCTTATAATTACTGCGATTGACGATATATTGTATACTAGTCTAGTCAATCTATTCTGTCCCCCTAGAAACCTTCATATAAAATTTCTGTCAATCAAAAAATAACTGAGTAGAAGTAGATATTCTGCTGATTAGCGTTGGGCAAAAAAATCGATTAATCGATTATAATCAAACGATAATCGATAATCGGGTTTGATTATTCTATTAAATTAATCGATTAATCGATTATTTGATTAATCGATTATTTGATTAATCGATTATTTGATTAATCGATTATTTGATTAATCGATTATTTGATTAATCGATTAATCGATTGTTTGATTAATCGATTATTTGATTAATCGGTTATTTGATTAATCGATTGTTTGATTAATCAATTATTAAGTAAATTTTAATTGATTATTATTAGCTGGATCATCAGTTTACGCAAAAAGGAGCACTCACAGCTCACAAGTATTATTTTATTTTATAGCGGATGTTAAAACGTCACTTTAAGCAGCTAAAATGAATTAAGATTGTATCATCAAAACTAAAGCACACCTCATCGGAGAGTAAGCTGCCTAATCATTTATTTTTATTTATTTATTTTTATTTTTGACCTTCATTTTCAAATGGACAGGGTTTCAGCCAAGGCTGTTCTACCAACCAACCCACTATGCATTTGCAAATATCCATGCCCGAACCCGGATTCGAACCAGGGACACTTTGTTGATTATTGATTAATCGATCTGCCTAGTAATGAACGATTTGATGAAAAGAGTAATGGAATTATTTTTTATTTTTATTATTAAATAATTAACGTATTAATGCATACAAACAGATATTTATCACTCCTTGTACGTGACAATCGACTTTTGATTAAACGATTAGGTGATTAATCGATTATTTGATTAATCGATGATTTGATTAATCGATGATTTGATTAATCGATTATTTGATTAATCGATTATTTGATTAAACGATTATTTGATTAATCGATTATTTGATTAATCGATTATTTGATTAATCGATTAATCAGTGTAATCGATTATTTTTCATAATCGATTATCGATTATTCAAACCCGTAATCGCCCAGCCCTACTGCTGATTAACATACCAAAAAATGGATCTCCGAAAATGACCGCTAATATTGTAAATTTATTAAAAACGATTGAAAATTCACAACACAATGCTTCGAACACTGATAGTTGCACTTTAGCTCGAGGTAAAAATACCATTTTGTAGAGAAATTAATTGTCTTTAAATTTTTTTTTTTTTGTCTTTAAATTTGATGTGGGAATTTATGTCATACAATCCC